ATTATGAAATGCATTCATTGTATTTTTTATGAATTTTTAAGTTGAAGTTAACATAGAAAAAAAATTGTCATATCCGACACACCACGTGGTTAAATTGCATTTCTCATGAATCTGAGTAAGATGCTGAAACCTCCTTTCATTTAAAAATAATAATTTTTTCAGTTTCTATCCACTAACAATGGACCCTCCAAATAATCTTCAATACCAGCTGACTGACGATGATGGCTTTGACGAGTTAGTGGACAAAGACAAGACCACGTAAGTGTCATAAATGTATAACTTCAATATTTTTTTGGAAATTTTTGTAATATATTTTGTAATTCGATTGTTCGCAGCGAGATTATTGGATATGTTGACGAAATAACTGCTGCACGTGACGTTGGAAAGCAAGGACAATTTCGTTTATTCAAATTCGTGTTGAGCAACGGAACAAAAAAGGTTTCATGCTGTGTGTGTCAGCGAGAGCTGATAGCAAAGTACGAGCCTGAGATACAAATCAATAGAGTAAGTAGAAAAAAAAAGAATAAATTATTTATTTTATAATTGCATGACTATAATACCATTCTTTTTGCAGGTACTACACATCATCGGCGGGCTTACTAAAGCTCAAGGCCAAAAGTACGCCAAGAAAGAAAGTAAAGGATATGTGCCTTATGAAATCATTATCCAAGCAGGCACTGACATTGAATACATAGGATTTCGCAACGTAAATGTTCCGTTCAATGAGGTACCACTTGACGTTGGGTTTGACACTATTGCAGAGCACACTTCTGGATTGATTAGTGAGTACTTTTTAATTTTTCAAGTTAATTTCTCTTTAGTTGTAAAAATTATCGCAGTTCAATGAAATTTTATTGTTTCGCTAAAATCATATTCAAGTGTATATCTATAATATGTAAATATTGTATTGTGAATGCATGATTTTTACAATTTTTAATCTGATCTGATTATTAAAAAGTTGTGTTTGTATGTAACTCAATTTGTATATAATGTAATATCTGAAATTCTTACAGAGTTAACTGGTTACTTGAAGCAGAAATTTCGATTGGTAGAGAATCATTACGGAGCAAGATCAAGCTACGGTAGCTCGGCAATAACTGACGGAACTTTGAAGGTGAACTTGGAAGTAACCAACTTCAACCCGACAGAGGAACTTCCTATTGGTGTTTTCGTGACTGTTACAGGACGAATCACTGAAAGTGGTACGTTTATTTTTGTCCCATTACTTCAGATAAAATATTGATTTTACTATTTTATATTTCTCAAATAAATTATCGTATTTTTTATTCACAGGTTCATTGACAACTATTACCTGCCCAAACATGACCGACATCGTTGCTGACTTCGATCATCAGCGTTTAACTCCACAGGAGTGTATGAACGTCAGAAAATTTCCCAAGCGCAGGGCTCCAGAATGAGGTTGTTTTCTTTTTCTTTTATAAGAAACAATAGCTTATATGCTATTTTCTTTTAATCAAAATAAATATTGAGAATATTTTTACTTTTCATTTTTTTTATAATGCATTTACGTTCAAATTCGCTTCTTTTCTAATTTTCTACTATTTCTTAATACAATTACAACTAATTTTTTTGGTACGACTTTATATCTATTTAACGTTCAGTGCTCATTGTCCTCATTGACTAAATGCAAGCTCCATTTTTTACTGCATTATATACATAAGTCTGATTGATTGAGTTTCCTTGAAAAAAAGATGATAAGTAAAGTGAGATAGGAGTCATATACACGCTCATGAATATATTCTTTAAAAAACTCGCGAATTTATAGTACAAAAAATTGAAATAACGTTTTGTTAATGTTAACATTATCAAGTATTTCCTTTGTCATAGTTTAAAATGTAACAATTAAAATAACTTTTTATAACAGTTTATATATGTAACGATTAAATAATACAAATTACGCGTTTGTAGTAGGAGTAAAAAAATTTTTATGACGTTTTTACATCGATTTTCGTACAAAACTTATCAGTCAATGACTGAAGTTTATACACAACTTTAATTTAACAAAATGCAAGCTCAAGTTCTCTTTAAGTAATACAGTACTGAAAAAACTGACTGAATAGCTTTTAGAATAGTATTAACGCGGTCGAGTATGACCTTAGTCATTATTCATAATGAAAAAAGATATATAACGTTTCGTATATATTAATGCATATAAAGATAATCTCTCATCTCTCACACTATTTATTAGCTATTTTCGTACCCTACTTATCAGTCACAGACTGGAGTTTGTACACGACTGATGTTTAAAAAAATGTAAACTCAAGTTCCTATTCGGAAGCGATAAAAATAAGCTTTAAGCGAATGTAAGATGAGTGAGCATGTTGAGATACAATGAATGTTAACGCGATCGAGTATGGCCTTAGTCAATATTTATAATGAAAAATAAAAAAATAAATAACGTTCCGTATGTCTTTATGCATGTAAAAATAGAATATAAGAGCTTCAAATTTGTTTATTGTGCGTACATCGGTCGAACTGTTTGTGTAAGAAGTATATCGCATTTTTTGTATAAGAAGTAAAGTAAATAATGCTATAAGCATAATATTTTAGTTGTAATAACCGATACTTTGAAATAAAAACACATTTGTAAGTTCGTTTTAGTAAAATAAATAATTTATTATGCCTGTAAGAAAATTGTCAAATGACCTAGAGAATAAAATGTTTCATTGGATTCAACTTTTGTATTCAAGACTCAAGTAATGTGTTAATTGATACTTATCAATAATTAAACTGTAATTTGCCAGGAATGTGATTGAAACATTTTTTTTCTCCGGTAATCATCAATGTGATGAAAATAACATTTGTAATGAACGTGATTCTAATAAAACTTTTCCTATCCCTCATGTGTCTTAAAAATAAAATTGTTTTAATATCAAAACATTTTCCTATATTTTCTTTTACAGAATTAATTTTTGAGAAGGTAAGTAATTAGTATTATTTTATTCTACAATATTTAGGGCAAACTAGGGAGTGAACTAACGTTTAATATTGCTACTAATTATTATTGCAAATGTTATTAATCGTTATTGCAAATATATTTTCAATAAAAAGATATACTCTATAAATTACATTGATTGAACGTTTAAAAAATGTTATATGGATTATCCGAAAGCACTAAATTATATTTTTTGATATGTACATTCTTCAACTGTGCAGTTTTGCTTAAAATATAAATAGTACTTTACTCTGTACTTGGCGATATTGGGTCTCCAATCGAGACGGTCATAAGACAATACGCGAACTCGGGCATGCGCATATGGTCATTGAAATCTATAGCAACCGTAATGTCCATGGTAATGGAACGGTCGTCACAGAAACCACGTTTTTTTTTTAAAGCAGTAGTTGCTGTGCACTGTTGTGTAATCTTTGCATATAAGCATAATAAAATTATCGACATAGCTTTCAATTCATTCTTCTTCTGCAAAGCTGCATATTGCTGTTTTTAACAGCAGTAAAATATTACCTTAGGTAAGTTAATATAATACATTATTGGAAACAAAAATATTTAGAAGTTCTAACCTTATTCATGCACAGATATGATTTGATATTTTTGCTACTTGAAAATATACTAATATAGGTAGCATTTATAATAACATAATAAGGCATTTTTAGTTTAACATTTTAGCATGCCATGTTATATTGATGAACAGTTGAAGCAATTCCAATGTAATGACATTTCATTTGATAGAAAGTATCAGTGATCGCTTTAAAATTGTTAAAAACAATTACTCAATTACTTACTTATTCTTGGAATAATTTGACTATTTTATTACTATTTCTTACATCCATCTCATAAATATTTTGATTACATGATTGTTTAGACTATAAATTGTGTATTGATAGCGAAAAATATGGCAATGTCTTGAAATTATTTAAAAAATCTCAGATGGATAAATGTTAGCCTAACGATCACTATAATGAGCTTTTCTACTTATATCCATCTTTTGTTATTGAGAAGAGATGTTTCATTTATTGATGAATATATTTCTTTCATTTCAGGTTCCTCAAGAGAAATTGATGCACTTATATAGGCACATTCAATTTGATCTGTTACGGTATAACGACATGCATAAGATTAGCCACAAAAATACATCTAATTTAGTTTTCTTTTCATATATTACTGGACAGAAATAAAGTCATATATCGCTCATAGTGATTTGATTGGAATGTTTAATTTATGAAAATAAAAAATAGCTTATAAATTGTTAACTTACATCATATATAGTTGTCGTTATTATTATTCATAAGTGCTTTCTATTTTATTGTTTTTATTCACACCTGCTTACTTAACAAAAAAATTAATTTCTTAAGAAAGAGATGCTTGAAAGAAATTGCAATATTCAAATATTGCTTTCTAGATAGACTTTTGAACACAATAGAAAATTTATGTAAGAATAACCAGAAGAAAGTATACTGACTGTTTGAAAGAAATTTTGAAAAACAAAGATTAAGAAAAAAACGAAACTGGATAATGAAATAAAGAAACAAAGAACACAGAAAAACGAAAATTGATTGAAAAAATAAAAAAGATAACGAACTTCAAGTAAAACAAAACCAAATTTGATAGTAGAATATGCACTAAGCCAAAAAAGTACATTTGTACTTGGCGTGTATTTGTACTATATCATTCTACTTTTCGGAACAGATTTTAACTGTTTTTTATTTTATACGAGAGAGACATTGAATATACTATTATTTTAATAACATCGAATACCTTATTATTTATACTTTGATTATTAAACAGTAAAATATTTATTTACCATTATTATCGTATTTTACTTTGTACATTCAAATTCATTTTTTTTTTTTTTTATAATGGGGAGAACAAAAAAAAACGCACTCCAGCGGAAGAAGAAGTGTATCAAGCTCAAAGACGTTTGAGAAATGCTGAATGTCAGAGAATTAGGCGTCAAGTTGCGCGTAATCTTATAAATGATGAACGTAGAAATTCTACAATTGCACAAGATTATTTAGGAAAAATGAATGTTTTATGTAAGCATTGTAAAACAAAACATTTTGAATCGGAAAAAGTTGATAAAAAAGGCTTATCTTTCAATGATTGTTGTTCCCATGGAGCAGTAGTTCTAGATGCTGCCCCTGACTTTCCTCAAGAATTATCATCTTTGTTTGATGGAACTCATGCAAATTCAAATGATTTTTTTGATAACATTCGTTATTATAATAATTCGCTTTCGTTTGCTTCTTTTAATGCCAATTTAGTTAACTTTCAACAGCGCCGTCCAGGGCCATATTGTTTCAAAATTCATGGGCAGATATATTATCAAATCAATACAGCACTATATCCCTGCCTGAATGAAAGTCCTGCTTATGGACAGCTCTTTTTTGTTGATCAAGAAGAGGCTCTTCATGTACGATTATCACAAAACCCGCATCTTAGACAAGAAACACTTACGACGTTAGACAGTATAATAAGAGAGAACAATATATTTGCACAGTCATACGCAATGATGAAACAAGAAATAAATGAGCAGAGATCTCGAATGAATGTCGAAGAGGAACTTGAATTGCAATTATTATTTACCTTGAAACCAGGAAATGATAGACGACGATTTAATTTTCAAAGAACAAACGAGGTTGCTGCTATTTTTTCAACGACAGCTGATGGTGAAATTCCAGAGTCGTATGTCACTATTAGAAACAAAAATACAAAGGTATTGCAATATGTTAGTACTATGGATCCTAACGTGGAGCCATGGATATATCCTTTGTTTTATCCTTATGGTTCACGAGGATGGCATAGAAATTTAGAACGTATCAAGGTAAATGATAATGATTCAAGTAGACGAGTAACGCGAATGGCCTATACTAAATATAAAATGGCTATAAGGCAGGATGAATTTAATTCCATTTTACTAGGTCGTCGATTGTTTCAACAATGGGTTGTAGATTCATATGTTAAAATCGAAAAAGATAGAATTCAATGGTGTAAAGATCATCAAAGAGAGTTAAAAGCAGATACATACCAAGGATTACATGATTATTTGCAAAATTCTGCAAATGACATTAATGGTGAAGTAGGGAAAACAGTTATTTTACCATCGACTTTTTTGGGTTCACCACGTCACATGCAACAAAGTTATCAAGATGCCATGTCTTTAGTTGGTAAAACTGGGAAACCGGATATTTTTCTTACGATGACTTGCAACCCAAGGTGGAAAGAGATTCAAGAAAACCTTTTACCAGGCCAACAGGCATGTGATCGACCAGATATTGTTGCTCGTGTATTTCATTTGAAAAAAAATCGATTACTCGACGTTGTTATAAAAAAAAATGTTTTTGGAGAAGTAGAATCGTACGTATATGTTATAGAATTTCAAAAACGTGGGCTACCTCATATGCATTTATTAATTACCTTAAAACATGCTCATAAAATAACCACACCTGATTTGGTTAACAAATTTATATCCGCTGAATTACCTGATAAAGATATTGATCCTGATTTATTGAATATCGTTGTAAAAAATATGACGCATGGACCTTGCGGTGATTGGTGTATGGTAAATAACAAATGTTCAAAAAAATTCCCAAAAGAATTTCAAAATGAAACAATTATGGATGAAACTGGATATCCTCATTATCAAAGAAGAGATGATGGTGTTTCACATGAACAACCTAATGGCCATATTATTGATAATCGATGGGTTGTACCACATTGCCGTAACTTATTAAAAATGTTTGATTGTCATATGAATGTGGAAATTGTTTCAAGTGTTCGAGCTGTAAAATATTTATATAAATACATTTATAAAGGACATGACGCAGCTACTGTCGTTATTGGGACCGAAAATACATCTAAAGATGTTATCAACCATGATGAAGTTTCTAATTTCATAGAAACTCGGTATGTTGGACCTGTTGAAGCATGCTATCGAATTTTGAGTAAAAGTCTACAAGACAAAAGTCATACTATAGAGCGATTAACAGTTCATTTACAAAATCAACAGTGCGTTATCATTTCTACTGATGCAAACAATTCTGTAAACAATCTCAATGAAGTAAGTAGTAAACTGCTTGATTATTTCAAGTTGAATATTGAAAATGAAAATGCACGGCAATATCTGTACAGTGATATTCCAAGGTTTTTTACGTATAAAAAAGAAAAAACAAATGGCATCAAAGTAACCAAATGGGTAGCACGTAAATCGCATTTCAACTGTTTTGGAAGGATGTTTTCGATCAGTCCTACACGAATCGAGTTATTCCACTTGCGATTACTACTATTGCATGTACGAGGAGCTACAAGCTTCGATTCATTAAAAACAGTTAACGGCATATTACAACCTTCATTCATAGCAGCATGTCTTGAATTGGGATTAATAGAAGATGACCAAGAGTGGGCTAAAGCTCTACAAGAAGCAACATTATGGATGATGCCACGAAGACTTAGACAATTATTTGTTCGCATTTTAATACATTGTCAACCAATTCATCCAGAAAAATTATGGGATGATTTTAAAGATGCATTATCCGAAGATTTTTCAAGGACAAACAATACTGATATAAGTCATCAAATGGCATACGCTGACATAAGTAATATGTTAAATCATGAAGGTAAAAGTTTGTCTGATTTTCCTGCTATGAATCAAACAGTAATTACTCATTTATTAGTTGAAAGTAGCGATCAGTTATCACAAACACATTTGGCAGATATCGGAGAACAACAATATAATTTATTGAATGAACAACAAAAAGAAATTGTTGATGTTATTTTGGATTTAGCAACTGCTACTAATGATAAGGTGAATAATAATAATTGTTTATATATTGATGGCCCAGGAGGCTCGGGGAAAACTTTTATCTATACAACTATTTATAATTTATTATGTTCAAAAAATATTAAAGTTACTTCAATGGCTTTTACAGGGATTGCTGCAATTTTGCTTCCAAAAGGAAAAACAGTGCATAAAACATTTGGCCTTCCAGTTCCTATGTATAGCGATTCATCTTCAAGCATTACGGCGCAATCTAAAGAAGGTCTTTTGTTAAAAGAAACAAGAGTTTTCATTTGGGATGAAGCTCCAATGGCTCCAAGATATGCACTGGAAATAGTTAACAGAACGCTTAAAGATGTTATGAACAATGATTTACCTTTCGGTGGTAAAGTTATCGTTTTAGGTGGTGATTTTCGACAGCTTTTACCAATTAGACTTCATGGAACAAGAAGTGAAACATTGAATCTTTCAATAAAATACAGTGAATTATGGAGGCACTTCATCAAATATAATCTTACAACGAATATGAGAGTTTTACCTCACGAAGTTGATTTTGCAAAATTTTTAATATTAGTTGGCGATGGAACATTAAATGACCAACACGATAATTTGACGTTGCCTGATCATTGCATTCTCGATATCAATAATGATGTTGTTCAGACTGTATTTGGTAAACTAATCTTAGAAAAGAAATTTGATAACATGAGTAAATGTGCTATTCTAGCTGCAAGAAATGCTGATGTCGATGAGATAAATAAATTAACTACTAATTTGCTAGATATCAGCACGGAACACATTTACACAGCAATCGACAGTACTGATGGATGTGATAATGGGGAATTTGATGAAGTACTTTTACCTGAATATTTAAATTCCTTAAACCCTTCCAGTTTACCTCCATATGAATTACGATTAAGAAAAAATTGTATCGTTATGCTTATTAGAAATATTAGTATTTATGAAGGTTTATGTAATGGTACACGTTTACGGATATTAGATTTTTCACATCATTTGTTGAAATGTCAAGTTTTAACAGGAGATAAATCTAATGATATAATATTTTTAAATCGCATCTCATTGTTTTGTACTAACGAGTATCCATTTTCTTTTAAAAGACGTCAATTTCCTGTTAAATTAGCATTTGCAATGACGATTAATAAAGCTCAAGGGCAAACATTTGATAATATTGCAATTGATTTACGTAGAGACGTTATCAATCATGGACAATTGTATGTAGCAATGTCTAGGGTACGATCATGGGATACCATTAAAATTTTTCTTGGAAGCCATCGACAAAATAGTTTCAAGGTTAAAAATTATGTTTACAAAGAGCTTTACTCATAAAAAACATATTCGACTGTTAAAAATTTGTTGTATATAACATCATATAATTATTTAATAACTTTCCTAACAAAAACTATAATTACAATGTTTATTCTACAACAATATGTTATGTCATGTTACTCCAAGGAAAATCGTATGAACGTTGCAGAGGTAAAGTAGGTACCGGTACGCATTTGGTAACATATTATAATGATGAAAGGCATATAGGCAATCCCCCTCCCGCGCCTCTTTTCAAAGGGTAATGTAGGCTGAGTTTTTTTACATACATCATAAGTGAACGTTCAGTTTAAGGTGGAATCCGAACCACCAATTATGTTACAAATTATATCACGTAACAACGACAGCTTGAGGCGCGCGTAGCGCGCTGCGTGACTCTAGTATTTCTAAAATATAGTCTTGAAATTTAAGTCACGTAACATAAAATTATACTTCATCGAAAAATAATTAAATAGTTCTTATACTAGAGACTTCAAGCTTTAATTTAAAAATATATCGTCTCTCTGCAATGTTTTGAAGCTGAATAATCGTTTTTCAAAGTTCGGTAATTTTTTATGATAAATTTTCTATGCCATACTTTTTTTAAGTAATGTATTTAAAATATTGTAAATATGCAATGATATGGTTCGGATATTGGAGAAGAACTTTCGCGTTTTAGCGTATCATTAATTTATAATAATTAATTTATAAAATTCACTTATTATCCTTTATAGACAGGTTGTAAATAAAGATGTTGAATAAAAAACAAATAAGTGATTGAAGAAATTTATTACACATGAGGCGTACATTAATGTAAAGAGTAAATTTTTTCTAGTCTGATTTCATGTAGCTGTTTGCTATTTTAAGTACTTATGCATGCAATGTAATTAATACTGGTAAACGCCCAACGTGAACTCCAAGCATGATGATGCTTCAAAGAATTTTTGGTTTATGACTTTAACAATTGCAATATCTATCAAATGTAGTAGCACATTTATGACTATTGCCCAGTATGTCGATGCTCCCGTAGATATTGTTATGCAGTTATTTTGTGTTTCAAAAAGTAATTCATAAAATATTCAACCTCTGAGGATTGCAGTTGGTGATTTTGATCTCCACCATAGATGCTTCACATTATAATCCCTTCCCACCATATTACCATTTCCTAGTGAGTGGATAAGTCTGTCCGATATTTTTTCATTATTTTTTTGTTTGGGGGTGGTAGACAGTTGACTATATTATCGGGTCGTTTATGGTTACACTTATTACTTGTAAATTAATTTCACTAAAAATTGTTTGTTTCTAATGCAAGAGTTATATAAAGAATTTTCTTTCTGAAAAAAATGTATGCTATAAAGTTGAAAAAGGTATGTTTCTATGGTTATATAAAATATTTCTAGATACTCAACAGTATTCATCAAAAATAAATCTTCAAAAGTCATCATCGTGAAACTTATGATTCTCTATTTATTGCAGATAAATTTAAGGCACGTCTGCATTAGATAGAATTTTTGTCACTTCATAGATTCAAAATTTCAGGTCGCATTAACTCGACATAATATAGTTTATCATATGAACAATTTTAAAAGTACTGGCAGTATAAAAGACAGAAATCATAGCAATAAGCAATGGAAAGTCACAAAGTCTAATGATAACTACATTATACATTTAAGTTTATGTAATAGATAAGTAATCCTTACAGTTAGACTAATCGCTGCTAACGTTAACCATTAAGTTAAGAAATCAGTTAATGAAATAGTAGTAAAATACAGACTATGTGAAAATAATTTATTTGAAAAAATTGCTATAAAGAATCAACTCTTGAGAAAGCAAGCTGTTATCACGATATTAAAATACGAGTAAGCTGAAGAAGATAAAAAACTGAACAATAGAAAATTAGAAACAAGTATTATAAGCAGATGATTTAAATTTCAAACTTTTGATTGCAAATGCTCAACTCCTGTTCTAAGATATACAGAAAAGAAATTTGCAAAAGATTGTACGAGTATGCAAAAAATGAAAACAGTGAAGTATGGTGGCGGTTCTGTAATGGTTTGGGGATATTTGAGTGGATTATAAATGAGAAGCATTGTACTCGTAAAGATTGATGAAATTTAAAACAAAAAAAAAATAAATAAATTATTCAAAAACTCTCCATACTTGTGACACACGCTTGATTAACCCTGAATTCATTTTTCAACAAAATAACGACCCGAAATATAAAATTTTTAAATTATGGAGAAATTATATTTCTAGTCGGGAAGTGGGTTTCGACTCGTGGAAGGGAGTAGACCTGTCTTGACTGTGAGTGCGAGTTTTAGTGAGAAAGTTTGTGAGGAAAGGTGTTTGAGGAGAGAGTTAGAGGTGAAAAGAGCGTGGAGGCGGAAGAGAAGTGGAGTAGAGAGAAAGAGGTTTGGAGAAGAGCAGGAAAAAGCAGAGAGAGAGGAATAAAGAAAAAAGAAAAGTTGAGGTTAAGAGAGAAAATCAAGAAGCGGGAAAAGTAGGCAGAGAGGAGGGGCGTTAAGAAGTAAAGGCGGAGACAGAAAAGGTAAGACAGGAAATAATGATGGAATCACGAGCAGAACTAGAGAGACGAATTAAGGCGTACGGGTTAGTGATGGAAAGATTTGTGACAGCAGAAAAATTAAGAGATAAGAGATGAAGGATGGATAAGAACGACCCAGAGGAGGAAAAGAGCAAAGGTGGTGAGGGGGAGAGAGAGCGGAGAGGGGCCGAGCTAGAATATTAGAGGAGAAATGCGAGAGGCAAAAAGATGCAAGAGTGAAAGTGAGGGGAGCGAGATAGAAGGGGTGGGAGGAGAGAAATTGAACAACACAATAAGAAAAGTGAGAAAAAGTAGTAGTGCAGAAGATATAATGGAAAAGATACGGGCAGATATAAGGGATATAAGAGAGGTATGGGAAGAAAAAAGGAGAGAATGGACAGAAACGTTAAAGAACTGATGGAAAAAATGGAAAGAATGGAGACAGAGGGGAAAAGAAGAGAAGAAAGATAGGAGAAAGAAATAGGAAAAGTTAGGAGAGTAAGAGAGAGAAGAAAGAAGGAGAGAGACGAAAGAAGAAAGGGAAAAAGCAGAACTTAGAGAAAAGAAACTGCTGGAAAAATGGGGAGAGAGGATGAACCAGTTGGAAGAAGCGTGCGTGAAATTAAAATAAAGTATAGAAGGAGCAAACGAGAAGCAAAGAGGAACAGAAGTAGGCAATAAGGAAGAAATAGAGTATATGAGAGGAAAAAATCGATAGAGAAAGTAGGATAAACAATATAATAGTGACAGACTTAGAGGGTGGGTTAAGGTGGGAAAAGAAGAGTGAGGCAGAGGACTGGTTAAGGGAGAAACAAGAAATTAAAGGGGAGATAGTGAATCTGCGAAGAAAAGAAGGGACAGCGGGGAGGAATGATCGGAGATAAAGAGGAAAAAAGATGCGACAAATTATATGCGCTTTATGGGAACAAAAAGAAGGAATTATGAAGAGGAAAAAGAAGCTTGGACAGAAAAATATCTACATAGATCAGGACTGGACGTGGAAGCAGAGGAAGATAAGAGAGGAAGTAAGAAGGAAAGCGAGAGAAATAAAAAGTAAAGATAAAGAGGTAAAGATGTAGCATAACGGATTGAAGTCAGAGGAATAAGAATGGTGGTGGAGTGAGAAAGAGGGAAAAATGGTAGGAAAAAGAGCGGAAAGGTTTCGAAAACAATAGGGAAAAAAGAGAGAGAGGGAAGAGAGGCAGTAAAGATACTATTCTGGAACGTGGCGGGGATTAGGAGCATGGAGGAAGACGACTGGGAATATGTTAGGGAATTTGATATAATAGGGCTAACCGAAACCTGGGTGAAGAGGCAAGGGTCAAAAACTGGGGTGGAGAAGCAACTGAAAGGGTATAACATGAGCGGAAAGACTCAAGAAGGGAAGGAAGAAGGGGAAGAGAAATAGGGAGAGGAATAATGGCGGTAAGAGAGAGGAAAGGGATGAGTAAGGTTGAATGGAAGAAAGAAAAGACAAGTGAGGTAATAGCAGGAGAAAGAAAGATCGGATGGAGGAAATACATCATAGCAACGGTGTATATGCATTATCAGAAAAAGGAAAACTATGAATACCTAAGCGAAGAGATAGAGGAGAACAGAGGAAGAACAATAATTAGAGTAGGATATTTCAACGCAAGAACAGGAAATGAAGGGAGAGAATGGGAGACAGAAGAAAACCTAGAAGAAATAAAGACCGAGGATAAAGTGTTAAACGCAGAGGGAGAAGAAATGATAAAATGGCTAGGAGAAATGGGCTTAGTTATAACGAATGGGAGAAAAGAAGGAGATGAAGAGAAAGAAATAACATATATAGGAGAGAGAGGAATGTCAACGATAGACTATGTAGTAGGTAACGAGGAAGGTGATGAGGCAATAAAAAGGGTTTGAATAAAAGAGAGGGTAAAGTCGAATCACTTATCTGTAGAAGAGGAATTGGAAGATAAAATAGAGAAGAAAGAAAAGAAAAGGAAGAAAGAATGATAGACGACTGGAGCGAAGAAGGTATAAGAGAGTATCAGAGATGGTAGACGTAATAGAGGGAACAGAAAAATGGAAGATAAAAAATAGAGGGAGGAACGCAGTCGTAAAAAAGAAGATAAGGAAAAAAAAGGATCGAAAAAAAGCTGATGGAGAGAAGAATGTAGGCTAAAAAGGGCTAGAGTGATGACAGAGTTAAATAAGGTAAGAAAAGGGGAAGGAGACAGAGGCAATTACCTAGAAGCAAAGAGAGAATACAGAAAGGAAATAAGAAAAGCGAAAGAAGCTGAAGGGAAAATAGTGGCAGAAGAAATTGTGACAGGGCTATAGCGATGCTCGCTGGCCCTGTGTGCGGCACTCTCCTCGCATGAACGCAGCGACCAAGTATACGCTATATAGCGACTACATACTTGTGTCGTTGCAGGATCTGGAGGGAGGAGCGCGACGATCGGCGAGGTGTCGCCGTGAGTGCGAGTGAGAGCGAGAAGAGCGAGAGAGAGAG